TTTGTTAATCATAACAAATGCACCATAGTAATGTAAGATGTTAAAAACAGAGGAAACTCTGTATTATTTTCTAGATTTTTTTTGTAAATTTAAAACTGTTCTAAAAAAAGAATTCTATTTAAAAAATCAAAAAACGACGTCAAAAAAAAAAAAAAAAGCCACAGGAGAAAAAAAAGCTTTATATTTTATTCCCTTCAATGGCACTTTTTTTTTTCGCTTTTTGAATAGAGGCCTTGCATTGTCATTTTCCACTCAACCCTGCAAATTATGGAGTCAGCCCTGCCTCTGTCCCAACCTCGTTCCCAGGCCTCAGGCTGAGATTGTTCTGGGCACTTGTGAAAGTCCCTGAAAGGCCAAGACTAAGCCGAGACTGTGCTGCAGCCCAGCAAGGAAGGCCAAAATAGAATGAGTTCTGTGCTCTGAGCTTGTCTGGATTCCGGGAAACACAGCAAATGGTGTTTCTAAGGTAAACACCAGGCCAAATGATATTCCTAAGCAAAGACCCTCCCACCTGAGTCTGGTGGGCAGTATGGATTCATAGTTTCCTAGAACTGGAAGAGACCTAATTCATGGTTCTACCACTGCCCTCGCCTCCCTCGTTTATGGAGAAAAATGATACAAACAGAGGCAAGGAGAGGGGTAGGAGCCTGCCACACTTCCAGAGCCTCCAGGGAGTGAGTGACAGCATGAGTCTTGCCCAGACCGAAGCCTGGTATTGTCTTCCTTCAACCCAGGTCTGGACCCGCCTTCCCTGTCCCTGTGCATTTCCAGCAGCCTGAGTTGCTACCTGGCCTTTCCTCAGAGCCTCTTCCTTGTTTCTCTGAGCATATACAGGGTGTGTGTGTGTGTGTGTGTGCACACGCGTGTGTGCGTGCGTGCGTGCGTGTGTGTGTCTTTAGGCCACAATTAGGATGAGGCCACAAGCAAAAAAGAGGAGGCTCCTGTCATTGCTTTTCCTACTTAGGTATTTCCCCTAGAGCAGGGGTAGGGGAGGAGCCCATGAGAGCCACAGGCTGAACAGGGCCTGCTGCAGTCAACAGCTGCAAGCCTGAGAGCAATTAGGGCCATTAGGAAATAATGTAGAGGCAGCAGCCACAGAGTGGTCTGGAGAGGGCAGAACTCCTCAAGTCCAGGCAGACAAGCCCTGCAAAATGAAACCAAGGGGACTCACACAGAAGGAGGGATCTGTTCCTGCCACAAAAGTGCAGCCTCCCCAGCAACAGAAATCTCTGGAGGAGAAACCCACCCTGGGCTTCCTCAGATCCTCCAGAGAAAGGCCACACCCCCTGGAGACTGTTGTCAGGGCAGCAGCTGCCCAGAGCTCTGTGTAAATGTGGGTGGAGCCCACTGCCCAGGAGCAGTTTTACATAGTGGTTAAAGATACAGTCTCTCATGCCACACTGCCTATGTTTTGTTTTGTTTTGTTTTCAGAGTCTTATCAGCTAGGCTGGAATACAGTGGCACAATCATGGCTCACTGAAGCCTTGACTTCCCAAGCCTCTAACCTCAGCCTCCCAAGGAACTGGGACCACCTGGGACCACAGGTGTGCACCACCATGCCTGGCTAATTTTTTCATTGTTTGTAGAGACAGGGTCTCACTATGTTACCCAGGCTGGTCTTGAATTCCTGGGCTCAAGCTATTCTCCCACCTTGTCCTCCCGAAGTGTTGGGATGATAGGCGTGAGCCACTGCACCTAGCCTTAGGTTTTAAATCCCATCTCAGTTACACTATCATTTGTGTTTCCATGGGAACAATTTGTCACCTCTCAGAGCTCAGTTGGCACACTTTTGAAATGGGTTTCAAAAGACTTAAACCCTCACTAGTAATAACGGACCAAGCAATAGGACCCTAAATCAAGAGTATCAGATCAAATCCATCAGAAGGACAGCCCACTCCAACTTCAATCCTACACAAACAAGTAGCAGACCACATTTCTTTGTAATAAATGACTGCCATTTGGTGGCAGAACCACCTTTACTGTATTCCCTCTTGAGAGTCCTTTCTCTCAAGGGAACCCAAGATCAGCTACTGCTGGGCAGAGACTTAGAATCCACATGGAGATCTGGTCTTTATTCCTCCTTTCCTGCTTCTATTTCCTCACATTTACCAAGTTCTCATCAAAGTTTGATTTATACTGTTTCAGGAGCTTTCAGGGACTATTGTGTCTTCTATTAGCAGCACTAGAAAGCAAGCAATCTGAGAAGCCAAATAAGAAGTGAGAGGAAGGGAACTAGCCCAGCAGGGCATACTCCTGGCTGCCACACACAATAAGGAAAAGAAATTTTTTTCACTTGGAGTCAGAACTCTCTGTTGAGATACTTCTAGATCTTTCCTGAGTTTGCTGACTTTATCATCCTATTTAATACTAGAGGCATGCTTTAAATTAATGATTTGCAGCTAATATACTGAATGACAGATCTGGATTCAAAGATTGAGGGAGTGAATCTAACGAGACAAAATTTAATCCAGGAAAAAACCAGAAGCATCTACACTTGAGTTAAAACTAAAAAGATTTACAGAAGTAGATTAACAGCTTGAAATATGAAACAAGGGAGGGGTCTAGTTGACTTCAACTTAAACTGGATTCAATTGTGTGATATGACATTCACAAAATCTACTATAATTTTAGGATGCATCTATATACGTATAGCACCTATTCTAGACTGAAGGGAGTGATAAGATCACTCCATTCTGCACTAGGCAGAATATTCAGTGCTTTCAGAGACATTTACACAATCAGGAACATGTAGAATGGTGAATGACTTTGAAAAAATAAGCCACATCAGAAATGCTGAAATAACTGGGGAAGTTGAACCCCCCAAAAAAGTATTGGTGAGAACATAATTGTTTAAGGATTACGTGAGATAGTATATTGAAAATACTTAGTGCAATACCTGGCATAAAGTGCACAATTAATTTTAATATTAAAAGGATGTTAATTAGTAGTATTGTTAGCACTGTCATACTATTATTATTACATTATTATAGTTAATGCTTATAGAGTGCTTTCTATGTACTAGGCTCTATGCCAGGTCCTTTACATAGCTTGACTCATTGACTCAGTTACTCCTCTTATCAATTCTATGAGGTAGGTACCATTATCATCTCCAGTGTTGTAGATGAGGAAGCTGAGTCACAGAAAGACTGAGTAGATTGCCTAGTGTGTCTCACAGAAGGGAAGGGGAAAGAACCAGAATAGAAGAAGTCTTGGCAGTTTTAAGCTATCAAGGATGAAAGGCACTTTTATTATTTTATACCTGTTCTGTACCACTCCAAAGGGCAGAGCCAGGACCAATGTGTGTAAACTACTGGGAGGCAGATTTTAACTCAATGGAAGCAAAAGTCTATTAATCAATTAATTTTAAAACTGAATGATTAGAACTTGCTGAGATTTCAATGAGATATCTTATAAGGTAGTGAGTTCTCCATCACAGGATCTAAGAAGAATAAGGATAGAAATGAAAAACTGAATGAAATGGGACTTCTCTAGGAAAGAAACTATACAAATGAGAAACCAATCCTTGATTAAAAAAAAAAAAATAAGAAGGCATAGTGAAACTTGGCTTTAAAGACACATGTCAGACAAATTGGAAAGTAAAACAGTTATAAAAAAGATGTGAAGGTAAACTAATATTTGTCTAGCTACTATCTCAGCATGAAGTTAATTAGATGTTGGAGAAAAGCAACAAACAGTTCTTAAAAAGGGAAATTTCACATGAATTTCTGTTCAGAAACTTAGTAAACAGCCTGGCTTTAAAACAAAATCCCAGGATCCTTGAAGATCAGATGGCCACGTACCCTGAAAGTGTAAAACACAGAGGGAGGGGAAGTAGTATGCTCTGTGGGGGAAAAAGTATATGCATAAGAAATTAGCATCCAGCCTGATGTGAGTAGGTGAGAGGCAGGCATAAGGTCGAAGATCATAAAATAGCGTTAGATCCAAAAAATACATATTTCAATGACAACTGAATATGCTAGCATGATTGTAGTCCTGCTTCTCAGTATGTGGTCAACAGAATTATTGCATAGTTTAATACAGAATGCCCTACCTGCAGCATCTAACTTCTGGGGTCCAGCAGTCCCAGAACTCAAATATTTGTTGATTTAATTAATTATTATAATTATAAAATTCCTCAACCAGAAGAACCAAGAGGTGGCTGGTTAAGGATTGAGTCCCAGTAAAATCTATTTCTTCTACTATGAATAACTACTGAATAATTTATATATATGTAAACACATATATAAATATATTTAATGTGTAATATATTCAGTGTGTATGCATACATATATATGTGTGTGTATAGATATACACACATAGAGAGAGAGAATAATGCCAGGCTTTCCACCAAGAACTATCCCATTTCAGATAATAAATAAGTTTTCTGGACTACTTGTACTTAGATGGACAAATGCATATTTGATTTATGAAAATCAAAGTATTCTTTTCAGATGGACATACTTTACAAACTTAACTCTCTCTAGAGGTCTAGAACTGAATGGTTACCAATGTAGGTCTGGGGGCTCAAAAACCAAAATGTGATGTCAAGAAAAAGTGAAAGATAGTCTCCCATGAAAGTCACAAGAGATGAAAACACGCTGAATGAGCAATGGACATGATGGAGTTATGGATGTGGATTAAAACTGAGAGTGTTGGAATATAAGGACATAATATTGATTTATGAAGGTGAACAGTCAAATGTTAGTGCAGGATCTGAACTGAAGGGGAAATAAGGGCCCTTGGTGGCTGAGTAAGGGAGGAGGGTAGAAAGAGGTGGTACTAGGGGAAGCAGCACAGAGGAAAAGGCAATACTACCCGAGACTAGATGCTGACCGTGTCTGGCAACCAGGAAAAGGCAAATACAAAGAGAGGTGTGTAACAATGCCTGGTGTGTCTGGGGTCAGGGGACCCTAGCAGGCACTAGCAGGTGGCTGCAACAGGGCCGCAGGTCAAAGTGGTAACTGGGGATCTGAGTTCGGCAGTGACGCGCGTCCCTCACGTGACCAGGAGCCTATGTCTGCCCAAGTCCCTCTCGTCCTGGTCTTTTTTGCCTGTCCACCATCTCCCTATTACCCTTTGGTCGAGAGGGAAAGCAGAAGGAAGTAAGTTCCCTCCACCTTCTTAAATCGACGTGAGTGTCGGCGCTGCCTAGTAACCCTGGGAAGGGGGTTGACAGAATCGGGATGGCGGAGTCCAGGCCTTTCCCTATGCTCCAGCCTCGCCCCCCGCGCCCACATTTCTGTGCAAAAAATGGTGGTGGAGAGGGGGTGGGGAGGTGAGTGCCGCCCCGCCCTCCCCCCCCCACCCCGGGAGGGAGGTACAGACACTTGGACAGAGTTTCTAAGACTGCTTCGCTTCCACTTCCCAGCTGAAAAGCAACGGCAAGCTTTGCGGGGCGGCGAGGTGGCGGCACGGAGTACGAGGCTTGATGCAGGGTCTGCGGCGAGAGGAGAACCTGAAGGGCGGGCGTGCAGGCAGTGGCTGGTGCCCCGAAAGTCGAGGGTGGGGGGTGTCAGTCAGTCCGTCCGTCCCCCCTCCCCACTCCCCGCCCCCTACCCTGTCTTGCGTCTGTTTGCAGGTCTGCTGGTCACAGCGGGGCACCTCGAGGAGAGGACGGCTAGGAGCCCACGACCCGGAAAGGTTCAGGTCAGGGAAGGGGTACGCAGTGGACCGGGCCTGGGGCGCGAGGTTGGACGCCGAAAGGCAGGGAGTCTGCAGGCCGCACGGTCCCCGCCCCTGTCACTGCGGGCGAGGCCTGTAGCAAAGCCTGCTGGGAAAATGGTGGGCTTTCGGGAAGGAGGGGGCGATCGGGAAGCGGTGGAGTCGGGAGAGCCGGAGAACCACTGGGAAAGCGCAAGGTTGAGGACCTGGGCCCCGAAGCAGGAAAAGGCAGGTATTGGAACCCACGGCCAGGGTGTTAGTCCAGCCCCTTAGTATTCTGACTCTATTCTGCCTTTCTTGTCTCCTAAGAATAACTGTGCTTGAAGAAGAAAATTCCCAGCATGGAGAAACCACGCCAAGAAAATGAAGAAGAGCCGCAGAGCGCGCCCAAGACCAAGGAGGAGAGGCCTCCGGTGGAGCACTCTCCCGAAAAGCAGGCTTCCGAGGAGCCGTCTTCGGAGGAGCAGTCCTCGGAGGAGGAGTTCTTTCCTGAGGAGCTCCTGCCTGAGCTCCTGCCTGAGATGCTCCTTTCGGAGGAGCGCCCTCCGCAGGAGCGTCTTTCCAGGAAGGACCTGTTTGAGGGGCGCCCTCCCATGGAGCAGCCTCCTTGTGGTGTAGGAAAACACAAGCTCGAAGAAGGAAGCTTTAAAGAAAGGTTGGCTCGTTCTCGCCCGCAATTTAGAGGGGACATACATGGCAGAAATTTAACCAATGAGGAGATGATACAGGCTGCAGATGAGCTAGAAGAGATGAAAAGAGTAAGGAACAAACTGATGATAATGCATTGGAAGGCAAAACGCAGCCGTCCTTATCCTATTTAATGTGTTCGGCCTTTAATTCGGTTTTGCCTGCTAATACTATTGCCATTGCCACCTGGACTTTCTGTTTGCATTTTCTTCATGCCTTTGCCCCTGTTCTGAATTTTAACTTTTTGGGAGGCTTTATTTTAGATGTTTCGTTTGTAACTGGCTTAAAGTTGGCGTTTCCTCCCTAAAATCTGCAAGTGTCCCCCTTTCAATCATGAGGTCTACACATTTGCATGAAAGATGTACATTACATATTGTGAAATGAAAAACGCAATTTTCAAATGCTATATATTGTACTCCATTTTTGTAAAAAATGTATATTTATATATTAATATGCAAAGAAAAAACGGAAAGTATATACTTCAAAGGCATAACAGTGGTTATCTGTGTGATAGATGATTTTAAAAAATTTTTGCTTTATCTGAATTTCTCATTTTTTCAAGACAAACACGTTTTACTTGTGTTGCAAAAAACATATAATGAAAAAATATCATGCAATTTTGAAGAAAACTGTCAATCACCTTATAAAGACAATGTGGCACTTAATAAATACTTGTCAGAACTTAAAAAACGTAAAAGTGAATTCTATGTTTTTTCTGAATCTCTTAGACACAAATATCAACCACATATTGATTATATTTAATAGACTTTTTTTCTCATTTAAATAAGAATAATACCTGCTTTACAGTGCTACTGTGGGACCAGATGAGAAGAAGATTATGTGAGCTGTGTTTGAGGTTTTTATTCCATCTGCACAGGCAGGACCCTGACACCCCCCCCCCCACCCATAGATTCCCTGCAGACACAGGGGAAGGTACCCAAAGGAGATCTCACTTGTGCTCACAAACAATTCCGGTGAGATTCCAGGTGAGTGCCACATTCTATTCACGTCCTGCTGTACTCTCAGATACCTACTGTATCTGCTAGGCACAGCTGCTCCTTCTCCCGGGTCCTGTTCCTTCCACTGGCGCCCATCCCTGCTGACATGCTGGAGTGCTCAAGGTGCAAAGCCTCACTGATTGCTGTGGAGTCCCTGGTGGTCCCAAGCTGAACTGTGTCTCCTACAGATATATCAATGCTCTTCTTCCAGCTTTAATATTGCACATAGCTAGGAAGATACCATCCCAATGCTGCTTAGACCTCAAAGTCTTTTAAAACTGTTTAGTAAAATAGTTCTTTCATTTTTTTTTTTTTTCCATCCAGAGCCTTCCTTTTCTCCATTGGACTCATGAGTCCACTTTTTCTCCACTGGACTCAAACATGATTCCACTAGGTCCTGGGCTAGGAGACAAAATTAATGAGCCAGACACCATGCTGTATAGTCAGAATTGGAATGTCCCTCTCAAATATTGGAGGATAACTATCATTTTAATTACCTGACTTGCCTTAGAGTGAGTTCTCTCTCAGGGTCTTCTGGCAAGCTTGCCTTGCCAATTCAGCTGACTTGCTCAACTTGTGTAAATTAAAGAGGAAGATAATGCTTCCTCAAACTAGGACATTCAAAGCAGCTTGACTGGGCTCAAACTAGGACATTCCCCTTCTACACTGCTCCATATAAGCAAGACACATGCAAAACTACTTTCTATGACATTAAAGTACTATATATGTATATGTACATAAACATGTATATATCAGATATAATTATGATTTCTCTATTAAACTATGTTTATGAAACCTAAGATTTTGTTTTATTGATCCTGTTAGTTCTAGAAATACAGAGTGGTTAATAATGACTAAGAATTATTACCCAGGGTTGGGCATGGTGGCTCACACATGTAATCCCAGAACTTCGGGAGGCCGAGGTGGGCGGATCACAATGTCAGGAGATTTAGACCATCCTGGCTAACACGGTGAAACCCCATCTCTACTAAAAATACAAAAAAATTAGTTGTGTGTGGTAGCACGTGCCTTTAGTCTCAGCTACTCAGGAGGCTAAGGCAGGAGAATCGCTTGAACCCAGGAGGCGGCGGTTGCAGTAAGCCAAGATCCATAGTGCCACGCACTCCATCCTGGTGACAAAGTAAGAGTCTATCTCAAAAAAAAAATAAAAAAATAAAAAAAATTATCACCCAGTCATGAACTCTGAGATTCTCTTTGATTGACTATATAACCTTTGCTTTGTTGACTTCTCTAGAGCTATGATTTGCAATTTCAAAAGGAACATGGTGAAAGAGGGATTGTTAACTGAAATTTCACATTAAAATTATTTAAATATTTTATATATCAATGTTTCTGTTATTAAAACAAACAAACAAACAAAAAAAACAGAAACCTGTTTTCTCTGGCGGACCCAGTAAATCTTCTTTTTTATAAATTAGCACACTAAAAGTTGGACAACCACTAGCATATACAGTGTACCTCTGATTTCATTGAGAATATGATGTAAATGGAAGAAAATACAGATAATTGTGTCAGAATTAAAAGGGTGAAAGCCTTGTCCAAGCATATTTTTAAATAAGCAACTAAAGACAGTCTTGATAATATTATAACATAAAATTTAGATTTCTTACAGCAAAGCAAGACCTTACACAAAATTAAAACACGAGAGACAATTTAATAGAAATGTATTTTCCATGACTGATGTTATATAATGTCTTACATTCCATACTTTCAATATGAGTAAAATGTATCAGAAATAAATTCAAAGTTCTCCTTTAGTAATAATCTAAAAAAAAAAATATGCTTAAGCAGATCTGTACGCTTGGCTTTCTTTTGTTTTTATATTTTTACCATATAATGCAATTTGAGGGAGTCCTTCATGTCTCCAGACCACTCTTCAAGCCAATGGCAGCCTGATGGGTGCTGGTCAAACCGGAATTCTCACTGGAGTGAGATCAGGTTCCAGGCTCACTGGAACTCGTTTTATAAGAGAGGATAAATCCATCCCCCTAACCTTCAGGGTGGTGGTGCTTAGGCAGGATGTGGAAGGGCTCACTCAGGCCACATTCCCCTCTGGGGTGGGTCTGACTTAGGTTTCTTTGCTCCAGCCTGCAGCAGGCACAGGGCGCTCTTAGGCTAATGGCCAAGCTGTCCTGGACAGACATACCTGGAGGAGGATGACTGACTGCCCTATTGTAGGACAGAGCACTTTGCCTTTCCCTCCTCTTCCCTTTCTCTTTTGGGGAATATTTTGTAGGGGAGGAGATACAGCCCCAACGTGTCCCGGCAAGAAACATCCATTTGGATAGTCTTTGAGCAACAGATGTCTGAGCAAATCTGACCAGGTCACTTGGGGTTGAAGCAGAAGGGGCTGACCCTTCTCGCAGAGTCCAGGGAAGTAGCCCCCAAGACGACTGGGGCAAAAATGGGGTTAGACAGCACATAAAACCTCATCCATCCCTCTGCCACCCACCTTGCTCAGATTCCCAGAGGGGCCTCAATGTGCCCTGGCCTGTTTGGTTGGTTCTGCAAGGACTTTAGTTCTGTGTCTGCCTGGTGCAGTGCATCTGATGCCTGAGTTACCCCAGGCCCTGAAGTACAGGAGACCCTAGGTAAAGGGAACTTGCAAAGACATGTGGTCCTACGACTCAGGAGAAAAGGGGTGTCACCTCCTATCTGAAAACCCCCATGTGTTGCAGACCCAGCTCATGACTTGGGAACCAAAACTGTCAAGCTGTGAATTGGTGGGAAGATGCTTTTTAAGGCATTGGTGGTGGAGAGTCAGCAGCATCCAGAGCCCCTGGGCCCCTGCTATAGTTTGAATGTGTTTCCCACAATTCATGTGCTGGAAACTTAATCCCAGTGCAACAGAGCATGTGGGATATGGGGCTTAATGGGAGGTTTTTAGGTCATGAGGACTGTACCCTCACAAATGGATTAATGCTATGATAAAAAGGGCCTGCAGGGGTGGGTTCTCTCCTATTCTTCTGCCACATGAAAACACAGAGTTCCTCTTTCTTGCCCTCTGCCTTCTAGCATGTAAGAATGCAATAGGAAGGCCCGTCCCAGATGCCACTGCCTTGATCTTGGACTTCCCAGCCTCCAAAACTGTAAGATAATAAGTTTCTAGGCCAGGCATGGTGGCTCACGCCTGTAATCCTAGCACTTTGGGAGGCCGAGGTGGGTGGATCACCTGAGGTCAGGCGTTCAAGACCAGCCTAGCCATCATGGTGAAACCTCATCTTTAAACAAATAAATAAATAAAATAAGTTTCTATTCTTTATCAATTATCCTAGAGCTGGGCATGGTGGCTCATGCCTGTAATCCCAACACTGTAGGAGGCCGAGGCAGGAGGACTGCTTGAGCCCAGGAGTTCAATACCAGACTTGGCAACATAGTGAGATGCCATCTCCATAAAAAAAAAATAGAAAAAAATTAGCTGGGCATGGTGGTGTGAGCCTGCAGTCCCAGTCACTTGGGAGGCTAACATGGGAGGATTGTTTGAGCAGAGGTGGTTGAGGCTGCAGTCAGCCATGATGGTGCCACTGCACTCTAGCCTGAGCAATAGAGTGAGACCCTGTCTCAAAAAAAATTAAAAAAAATCCAGTCTCAGGTATTCTGTTGTAGCAGCAGAAAATGGACTAACACAGCCTCTCACCATCTTCCTTCCCACACGGAAGGCTGGTATCTCTATCACATATCCAAGTAGCAACTTGCCAGGACAGCTTCAGAGCAGAAATCATTGAGCATCCAGGACCATGGAGATAGAGCTCTCTGCTAACAAGGGTTCCCTTGCTCTTAGGAAACAATGCATATGACTGGGAACTCCCAGGAGTGGTGAGGCAGCATAGAAAAGATCAGGCTCAGGGTCCCTATAAAAGGACTAGGGACAACTCCTTCCCCCATTGGGAAATACTAATCTAAATAAATAATTTTTACAAACGAGGGATAAGATTTTACAGATAAGTAAGAGGCAGATCCTGTGTTCTACTCAGATTTGTTTGCATCAAATTCTGTGTTCTTCCCACTCTACCACACTTAGACAGCTACCAACTTAGACAGTAGCTTTTCAGGGGTTAGGGAATCATCTATTTAGACTTGCTTAGTATGGTATTCTTGTTGGTCTGTGAATTTGGGTGAGTTTTCGATTTTTATCTCATTCCAGGTAGAAATGTCTAGTAGGCAGTTAGATATGTGTTTGAAGTTTGGAAAAGAGATTAGAATGGAAATATCAATTTTGGCTTATGATACCAGGAACATAGCAAGTGGTCCAGGAATATTTGTTGAATTAAATGAGTGAATGAAGAATGCAGTTGTACACACTTCTACCCTTTTCTATGAATACGTATTTTTCAAACAGAAGTGGAATTCTGTTGAACACACTGGTTCATATCCTGTGTGTAAAAAATAAACTTTTTCTTTAAACTTTGTCTTTACCAAGACAATACCTGTTTCAGAAGAATGTTTACAAATACAGATAAGTGCCACCCAGTGACTAGAGCCAGAATTGTGGGTCGAACACAGCAGGTAGGAGAGAGACTATGAGAGGAGAGTTGGTAGAGAGACTTGTATTTGGGAAGGGAATGTCTCAACCCTGACTCACACTGGACCCACACAAGTATCAGGTCTTCTTGGGGACTGAGGTGGCCCAAGAGGCAACGTGTACTTATGTGGTTTTTCCTTGTC